GGGTGTGTGTGTGTGTGTGTAAAACAAAAAAAAATTGCTAATGGGTTTTACAGTCACAATGTACCTGTGAGGTAGAGGTCACGTACTCCTGCTTTCAAAGACAGGAAAGCAAACTATTGAATAAAAGAAGTAAAGAAGTGAGTTCTTACAGTTACATAGGAATGGCCATGACAAATCTTGAAAAGTCTTTGCCTATTCCTCTTAAAAACACTTACTTCCTCATGTAAAGGAACTCTGTATATATACACTTCCTCATGTAGAGGAAGACAAGGCATAGCAGTCTGGAAAGAGACAGGCCCACGCTGGCAAAAAGGTCTCTGCTAGCTCTGTTCACAATTCTTATCTCAAATCAATAATTGTGTAAAAGTATAACATGTGGCCTTTGTATGAAAATCTAATGCTGGCAGTAGGAGAGAATCAATGTTAGGATGTGACCCAAATCTACAGTTACACTTAGTCATCTCCTTACATGCAGGGACTACAGACAAAAGTACATGCTAGCGACAACTCTGTAATTTTACACAGAAGAAAAAAAAGAATGCAAAAATTACTCAGACGGAATCATGGAGTCACTGAAGGTATCCAAAGTTAAGACACAAGCAAGTTCAGAGCAGCACAGCAGACTATGACAGCAGCTGCAATGTTCTCGAGCCAGTTAAGAATAGAAAGTAAGAAAAAAGAAAAGGAAGAAAAGCAGGAAGTTGTAGTAGCTGGCCAAAGCATGAACCAGCTTTCATCCATTTCTGTTAAAAATTTGCATTTCCTGAGAACAGTCAGGTAACCTCAAATAACATTCATGGCCACTACTGGAACAAAAAGTGAAGTCAACACATACATGTTGAACTATTGAAATCCGAGGATGAATTTGTCCCTCTGCGTCTCAAAAGGCAGATAAAGGAGTTTCTGCCTTAAAAAAATATAGAGATCCAGGCTATTTGCTGATTTCACTGAGTAATAGTATGCCAAAATTTCATGGGCTGTACAAATAATTTCCAATTTGGAAGACACTGATCCTCAGTGGTCACTACTGACATGAAAAAACTTCCACAATTTCAAAACTAACGTAGTATTCACAGCTTTAAACTGAGAACACGATCTCCATTATACAAAGCCATGACAAAATAATTGGTCATTCTAAGAAGCACTCACAGCCTAACCTTTGTATATAGGTTGTATACCACAACATCCTGTTCAATAAAAACTGTAAATACAGGAAAGCTGTTGTAAGAAAGCTATTTTTCACTCCCACTGATGTCCCATTTGCTTCATGCCCCTAATGTCTGCCATTACACAACCCAGAAAAAGAAACTCTAAAATTGTTATATACTGTAGTGAGGCCTAAAAGAGAAGAGTTAATACAGCAACAGTATGGTAGAAAAAACATCCAACAGATGCTAAAGCCATAGGGGATATTTGGATCAGAATCCAGAGCATTCAGACAAAATAGAAAAAAATCAGAACACCTCATGGCACTGACAAAAAGAAAATCCATAATATACCTCAACACAGTGAAATGAAGACCTCAGTGTTCACTAATTAAAAAAATCCTTAAACCATCAAGTTGGGAATAAAAATATTTGTTACATATATTTTCAAAAAGATAGAGGTACTTACTAGGTAGCTTTAGCACTGCCTTGTACTGTTACATTCAGGATAGGTATCCAAGTGCCTCTGTACTCAAAGGCAGGTAATACAGTTGCACCTCCTCCCATTCCAAGCACTCCCGGGTTAGTTTGTGCTGAGCCAGTATTCCCTGATGCGTTGCTTCCTGTTTAGAAACACGAAGTGATAAAATTAACAAATCTAATTTTAGTGATCAGCAAATTTCTATGTTTAATTTTTAAGTTGAGATACATGGATTAATCTGAGACGCCCTGCTCAATAATAAAAACCACCACCAACGCAAAAACCTATTTTTGAGCTCCCTCTGCTGTCTAAAACACAATTTTATGTGCAAAGTAATTAGTTTAAAAGGCACAGTTGACTAATGCCAACTGCCTTATTTTCAGTCAGAATAAAATGTTTCTGTGAAAAGTATAGCAGCATTCATAACATTCTGTGAAACAACTAAACTTACATGGTTTCAATAAAACAATATACATTTTAGTGAAGAGTCAGACAGATATTTAGAAGTTAAGGATTATTTGAATAGTTGCATCTAGAACTCAGTAGCAGGAAAGACAGGTTAATCATTCCAAGAATAAAGATCATCACAAACTTTAAAGATTTCAGAAATGCAAAAGCCACAAGAAGAAACTCAAAGAGAACTGCAATGTTTGAATCTGTTCCATGCCAAGGTAGAAGAAAACAAACCGCATCAGGGAAGAGCTGACAACATGCCAACCAATAGCTACGAGGGAACAAATTTTGGTTGCAATTTAAGAAGCCAAAAAAAAGCAGATAAAAGGACACAGAATTCTGAATATATACACTTCCTACATACAGAAGGAGGTCTATACTTACTAGGAGTAGGTACCACAAGTTCAGACTCTCTCTGTACAATGGGGAGAGAAGGGCAGAGTCCCCAAGAAGGCGACTCAGCACCTAATACATGAGTATAACAACTGCCATTTTGGTGTGCTCGCTTTTAATATGTAGAGAGACTAAATGACTAATTTAGGCAATATGAATACACACAGAAGCCTATGTATACACTTTAACACAGTGAAGCTTAGCAGACTGAAACAACAAAATCATACTTCTAAATGGAAATGGTTAACCAAATGCTGCCACTAACACAAACACAGTTACACTGGTGTCATTTTCTGTGATCTCACTGAGCAGTCAGACATATACTACTATTTTTATATCAATACATTATTCCTTACAGTGGTAAAAAGGCTTACATTACACCAGTATAATAAAAGTGACACAAAACTTAGGTAGATGCAGCTTTCAACTTCTCCTATGCAACAGCTACCTTGTTGCAAAACTGAGGCTCAAAAGCCAACTACACCTGTATACGACAGCTTGCTATGAGAGGACTATCATTACAATCAGAAGACTCAGTTCAAAAAGTAGGTTGCATTGATATGCTCTTTGCATGTTAACCGTGGCCATAGGAGGAAAGAGGCAGAAAGAGAAATGCAGGAGAAAGAGACATGAGAAACACTCAGGCAGAAAGAAGTGAAAAGGTAAAGGAGAAAACAAACTGGAACAATAAGCCAGAGAAATAGCAACAGCACTAAGGGTATGACCCTAGTTGCAGTGCTGTTTCACATGAAGGCAAAATTTAAGTTTTCAGGAGAGTGAGTATTTTAGAATGGCTTCTCATATGTGCATGTTAACACGATGAAAAGTGCTTTTCTGATTTACCTTAAGTGGCTTAAACTAACCCAGAAATAATACTGATAGAAGTGCTCTATCAGCTTCCATACAGACAGCTATTGAACAGCAGCTATTGACACAAATTTCTTCACGTTATCAATGCTAACACCAACTTGGAACTCAGACTTCATGAGTGAACCCTGGAAGGTGAGAGTCTAAAACCAGACTTTGTAATGTTTATTGATTTAATAGTAGATATGATAGATAATAATTATACTTTGATTACCTGTTTATTATCTCTTAAGAAGGCATATCAAAAGACACCCTTAGAAATTATTTTTAGGTTGTTTGTTGCTGAGGCCTCTGCTTCCAGAACCATGGGAAGAAGCAGAGCGCCTTAAGTTGGACATAAACACCTGCAAAGGCATTAACAGGAGGACCATTTCTTCTTATAGAAATAAAAATATACCTAGTGAAATGCCAAAACCCTGGCTGCTAGAAAAGACAATCAGATGTATTTTCAGTAAGTGACTGTTTTCAGCTTACAGAAAAAGCAAAGATCATCTGTAAAATACAGATTTTCCTTTCTACCTCTTGGCTTCCTCAGTCCAGTTTTGTCCCTGAACATCAGAAGGATTAGCTATTGCCTCCCAGAAGGAAGCAAACACACACTGTCTTACTACTTCAGTTGGACACTGCCATAAATAACATCCACACACAATGAGACAGAAATCAGACAAATTTGTTACAGTCAGAAATTAGAAATAATTCCCTCAGAAATTCCCTCAGAAAAGTTGTGAACCAAGGAGCTTGGCTGCTGCAGAAGCAGATACAGGAGCACTGCTCTGCTGTCTGGGGCCTACGTCTTCCCCACAATACAGGTAGATAAAAATCACCTGTTGTACCAGACCTGAAAACACTAGTTTGTCTCACACTAGCTTTTCAGCTCAGTGAACACAGAAGTACAGAACTGTACCAAGCCAAATGTATATAATGAATCAAATCAGAATTTATTATTACAAGAAAATGCTGGAAAGTTAAAATGATAGGAAGGACAAGGCTTTACCAGTTTGGCTTGGTGTCGCTGATGTATTCCCTGTGCTTGGTACAAGAAATAGCGACTGGATGAAGGACCCCAGTGCATTCACAATATCACGGAAAACTTTAGTGGAATGTTGCTTCATATCATACGATTGACAAAAGGACCTGGAAAGTATTTTATAAAATATAACAAGAATTTGACAAATTAGGGACTGAAAGCATATTTTAACAGCAACGTCCCCTCCCCCCCAAGCTGTAGACTAAAAGCACATTTTAAAATGCAAATATTTAGGTGAATAATAAACTTTAGTTTTAAGTAAATGCTCTTTTAACACTGCTAAGACAGAGAGGGTTTGGAATACTGTCCCGGTTTCAGCTGGGATAAAGTTAATTTTCTTCCTAGTAGCTGGCATAGTGCTGTGTTTTCGATTTAGTAGGAGAAGAATGTTGATAACACACTGATGGTTTAGTTGTTGCTGAGTACTGCTTATGCTAGTCAAGGACTTTTCAGCTTCCCATGCTCTGCCAGGTACACAAGAAACTGGGAGGGGGCACAGCCAGAACAGTTGATCCAAACTGCCCAAAGGGCTATTCCATACCATGTGACGTCATGCTCAGTATAGAAACTGGGGG